ATTTATTTCCTCCACTCGCAACAGAACACAAAGAAAAAATGAAGAAGTAATGTACTGTGCTATGAAATTTCCATTATTCTGCAAACTGATGTTGGCAAAGACTTGAAGGCCAAACTCATAAAAGTAAAACCTGAGCCCAGCTCTGGCAATACACCTTCCTAGACCCACCCCTGTGTCCTGTCAATCACATCTTCAGAAGTCAAGGAAAATGCTCAGTGAAAAGGTGAGAAGTGCAAAGTCTAGTAGAAGCTACTGAATCAGAGAAGATGGATAACAAAGCTGTGCTTTTATAAGGTCCCAATGCTTTCATCAGTTTGCCATTAGTCTTGAACATGAGCTCCAGCTGTCAAAATGATCTGGGAACCAATACTCCAATCACTTCAAAAAATCATCATCACCCCATATTTCTGCAACCTCACCCCTTGCTTCCCCTGCCTTGTTCTTCGAAGTGATAATCCAGCATTGCAGGGACTGCCAAGCAGTCAGAGATAATAGTCAGGCATTATCTCAGTTTCCTTTGACCTGCTTGCAACCTTCTGCAGCTTGTAGGCTGCAGAACAGCAAGGGCAGGATGGTCTAAAAGCACATCAAGAAAAGGCATGAGGGAAAAGTTATTAACTGACCCATGTCAGCTTGCACAGTCCTTTTACACACAAAGTGTGCTCCCGAAACCACAAGCGTTGAAAATGATTCATGTTATCAACTGTAGTGAATTGCTACTGTGCCTTTGGCTGGGCAGCTGCCAGCTCAAACCTGCTGAGGAGATGGAATGCCACATCACAGGTCTCAAGGTTGATCCCTACGTTCTTCCCATTTTGCACCACGTGCTTTTAACACATGCAGGCCAAAACGAAGGAGGTAATTTTTTCCCAGTGATGTTTATAGCACCAAGGTTTGTTAAGCAAACGTGGTCAGTCAGATGACATCACGGTAAAGACTTAAGGCCTTTTCCATATTACCCGAAGTTTCAGCTTGCATTATGTGCACCATGGAAAGGCAGTAACATCACACGTAACACACACATAGAAGACCATTAACAAGTACCTCTTCTGATGGTAGATGCCAACACTAGCTTTGCCATTCTTTTCTAGGGCACCAAAGCAAGCTGTTTTACAGCAGCATCTGTGGTTCCCTTAAGTATAAGGATTTTGCAGCTCAAAACATTACTAAAAGTCAGGTTCTTTTAGTAATTTCTTTTTGGCTGCACATTCAGTTAGAAAATCCCATGCAAATTACAAGTTGCCTCTCCTACAAGCATGTGGATGACTCCTACTAGGAGTTGAAGAGGGCTTGTGTTTAAAATGAAAGGTCCAACGCAGGACATTTCTTGGAGGACATGTTAGGGTAACAACACACACAGCAGGTTTTCTACTCTGCAGCCCAAATGTAATGGTGATGTTATGGATCCTTCTTTTTCTGCTTGAAAAAGCCAACAGAGGAAACACTCTCAGACTCTCCACTTCATCGAACTTCAAATTTCAGTAAGACGAGTCAAAATATGCAACCTCCAAAATCTGAGAACTCCAAAGGTACAATTTAAAATACAACCCACAGTAAACAAACTGGTACACAGGTGGTCTTGTTTCTCTGAGAGGAGGCTTTGCACCCAGTGGTAGTTGTTCTCAGTCTACTTTTGTGTATGTCTTTCTCCGTACCATGTGCATCTGGATCACCAATCCAATATTCCTGGTAACTTGGTGCAGGTTAACTTGAAAAGGATGACGGAATCATAGAATGCCTTGGATTGGAAGAGACCTGTAAAAGTCATCCAGTCCAACTCCCCTGCAGTGAGGGGAGGCACTTTCCACTAAACCAGGTTGCTCAAAACCTCATTCAACCTGACCTTGAAGACCTCCAGCGATGGAGCATCTACACTGTCTGGGCAACCTCTTCCAGTATCTCATCACCCTCACAGTAAAAAATTTCTTCTTTAATTTCATTTAAATCTACCTTCTTTTAGTGTAAAGACATTACTCTTTGTCCTATTGCAACAGTCCATGCTAAAAAGTTTGTCCCTTGCTTTCTTATAGGCCCCTTTTGGTAATGCTATAAAGTCTCCCTGGAGCCTTCCCTTCTCCAGGCTGAACAACCTCAATGCTCAGCCTGTCCTTATCACCTTAGAGGTGGTCCATCCCATCATTTCCATGGCTCCAACAGGTCCACATCCTTCCTGTGCTGAGGACTCCAGAGTTGGATGCAGTACTATAGAGGTCTTACAAAAGTGGACTAGAGGGTCAGAATCACCTCCCTCGACCTGCTGCCACACTACTTTTGATGCAGCCCAGAATGCCCAGCCCTGGGCTGCCAACTCATGTCCACATATTGCCAGCTCACGTCCAGCTTTTCATCCACCAGCATTTTGAATCCTTCTCAGCAGGGCTGCTCTAATCTGTTCATCCCCCAGCCTGTACTGACACCAGGCAATGCTCCAATCCAAATGCAGAACCTTGTATTTGACCTTGTTAAACCTCATGAAATACACACATGCCCACTTCTTGAGCTTGCCCAGGTCTCTCTGGATGGCATCCTGTCCCTCAGGCTTATCAACTGCACTACTCATCTTTGTGTCATCTGCAAACCTACTGAGGCTGCACTTGATCCCACTGCCTATCTCATTGATGAAGATTATAAACAGTCCTGGTCCCAGTACAGACCCCTGACAGATAGCACTTGTCACCGATCTCCATCTAGATATTGAGCTGTTGACTACTACCACTTGGATGCAGCCATCTGACCAATTCCTCAACTGCCAAACAGTTCCTCCATCAAATCCATACCTCTCCAATTTAGAGAGAAGGATGTTGTGGGGGACCATGTCAAATGCTGTAACAAGTCCAGACAGATGACATCATAACACAGCCCTTCCTTTGTTCACTGAGTCACTTCATCGTTTTCCTCCCTCACTGCTAGGAGAGTAGCAATTTAACTGTGAGTACATTATATCTTGCTCATCAAAAGCCCCTCTGCAACTCTGTCTGGTTCCTTTCCTGCCTGCAGAAAGGCATGTAAAGAAAATAAGGGTTCTCTGGCTCTGAAAGACATGCTTTAATTTTTTTGGCCATGTGCCAGCCCCCACTTTCTGTTACTGTAAGGGAATACAACCATGAAGAGGCCACCTCTCTCCAGTAAACTACATAATCACTGACCTATGTGGAACAAGGCTCTCACACCTGGCAGCATTGCTTCAGCTTTGTCAGACACAATCATAGCAACTGACAGGCAACAGAACAAATTATCAAAACCAAGTTGCACATTCAGGTCATACAAAATGAATATTTTATTCACAAACCGTTTAGTTTCCCCTATGCCTCCCCACAAGGAGAAAATACAGGGCTCCACAGCCAGTGTCACCACCATAACTTTGGGTTTTTTGACAATGGTATGTCCTGCGCAGCTCCAGCCATGCTGGCATCAGATGGGACTCACCTTTCTCAGAGAGGGAGGAGAGTCTTTTCCCAGGAACTAGGGAGACTCATTGCCAGGGCTTTAACCTAGATATGATGGGGGAGGGGGACAGTATCACAATCATCTTTGAGAGGTCATGGAGATCCGGGTAGGTGTCTGAGGACTGGAAGAAAGCAAATGTCACTCCAGTCTTCAAAAAGGGCTAGAAGAAGGAACTGGGAAACTACCAGCCAGTGAGCCTCACCTTAATCCCTGGAAAGGTGAGGAAGTACATCATTCTGGAGGCCACATGGAGGAGAAGAAGGTGATCAGGAGTAGTCAGCATGCCTTCAAGTTAAATCATTTTTTACCAACCTGATTGCCTTCTACGATGATACAACTACTTGGATGGATAAGGGAAGAATAGTGGATATTGCCTATCTCTACTTCAGCAAGGCTTTCAACAGTGTCTCTCATGAAATCCTCATAGGTAAACTCAAGAACTGTGGGTTGGATGAGTGAACAGTGGGATGGATTGAGAACCAGCTGAGTGGCAGATCCCTGAGGGTCGTCATCAGTGGTATAGAGTCTAGTTGGAGGTCTGCCACTAGTGGTGTCCCCCAGGGTTCTATATTGGGCCCAGTGTTGTTTAACTTGTTCCTCAATTACTTGGATGAGGGAATAGAGTGCCTCCTCAGCAAGTCTGCTGATGATACAAAACTGGAAGGACTGGCTGACACCTGAGGGCTGTGTGGCCCTTCAGAGGGACCTCAATAGGTGGGAGACATGGGTAGAGAATATTCTGAACTTCAACAAGGGCAAATGCAGGGTCTTGCACCTGGGGAGGAATAACCCCATACACCAGTACAGGCTGTGGGCTGACCTGCTGGAAAGCTGTGCTGTGGAGAAGGACCTGGGTGTCCTGGTGGACAACAAGCTGTTCATGAACCAGCAGCGTGTCCCTGTGGCCAAGAAGGTCAACAGAATCCTGGGATGCATTAGAAAGAGCATTGCCAGCAGGTTAAGGGAGATGATCCTGCCCCTCTACTCAGCCTTGGTGAGGCCACATTTGGAGTACTGTGTCCAGTTCTGGGCTCCCCAGTACAAGAGAGACATGGAGCTCTTGGAGCAGGTCCAGCAGAGAGCTACTAAGTTGGTAAAGGGTCTGGAGAATCCCTCTTATGAGGGAGCTGGGCCTATTCAGCCTCAAGGAGGCAACTGAGAGGGGTCCTCATTAATGTCTATAAATATCTAAAGGGTGGATGTCAGTAGGATGGAGCTAGGCTTTTCTCAGTGGTGCCAAAGAACAGAACAAGAGGAAACGGGCAGGTGTACAGGAAGTTCCACCTAAACATAAGGAAAAATTTTACTGTGCAGGTGACTGTGCACTGGAATAGGTTGCCCAGAGAGGTTGTGGAGTTTCCCCCACTGGAGATATTCAAGAACCATGTGGATGCAATCCTGTGCCATGTGCTCTAGGAAGACTCTGCTTGAGCAGGGAGTTTGGACCGGATGACCCACAGTGCCCCTTCCAACCTGATCAATTCTGTGATTCTGTGAAAAGCTTGTTACAGGAAAGGCAAAAAGGACAAAACATAGAGGAGCAATGCCCATACCTGACCATAATCTGTCCTGAATACGACAACTCCTTCTGCACATGAATGAACAGTACTGGGATAATGTTGATTATTTTCTCGCAGCCAGACCCGAGACCCCTGCAATAAACAAAAGACAATTATACATGACATAACAGAAAACTGGAAAAATAATTTCACTCAGTATTTTCCTCTGGAAATACTTATCAAATAATAGGAGAGAAAGTGAGAGTAAAATCCAAATAAGCAAGGGAAAGAAATAAAATAAAATAATCTGTTAGCAAGTTGGTTTCTGCTCGATCAGTAAATACAGAAGAACTACACTGAAGTGTCTTTTTTTTTTTTTTGTACAAGTTCCTCAATGCCAGCAAGAGCAGCTGGAGCCAATTCTCTGATTCTCTGAGTCATGTGCCTCATGTTAGCACATGTAAAATTACAGAGCGGTGTTGAATTTACACACAGTTTAGAAGATCTTCCCCAAAGCCAGCTGGCTCCCTACCTGTTTATTTTCAGCCTCTGTCAGGCACTCACAGCATTGCCATCTTTCACCTCTTTTCTAAACTACTTTGCCCTTTACAGGGTTCTCCTCTCTTGCCTGCACTACAATGCAGAGGATTAAAAAAACCCAACTAGTAGCAAGCAGGATTACTGATATTTGCTTTCTGGAGGTGAGGAGGCATTGGAAACACTACCAGTGAGACACCCAAGTCAGTCTAGTACAGCAGGCAGAGCTTAATGTTGCACCTACCACCTGGCTGGTAGATGCAGCATTAAGAAAACAGAAATATCCAGCACTGAGAACAAGGGAGGAGGACCACAGCTCATGCTGCAGCTGCAGCAAAAGCCATCCCATAAACAATAGACACTCAAGTTGCTACTGTGTAGGAGAAGTTCTTAACTGGCATGAAAACATTGAGCAGCAGCAACTCATGGTCCGATCTCCAACCCAAACTATACTCCCATTCTCTACAGACAGCTGGCTCCATATCAGAATGACAATATTTTCATGGCATTCGGAGAACAGAGATTTTTTTCACCAAAGCAGTCAAATTATCTCCTAAAGAAAAAAGTAAATGGGTGGTGGAAAAGTGCTGGGATATAGCCTGATAATCATAAGGTTGTGACTTTGGGTGTACAATCACTGAAAAAAAACAAGTAAAATAATTTTGCATGCTAGCATCCAAAGGCTGCCCTTGCCTGAATTTCTAAGCACAGAAACTAGACCTACAGCCTCGTTAAGGCTGGAGGGGGAGGAAGGGGGAGAGTCCTGATTGACAATCAAGACAAACACAGTTTTTTATTTTTATTGCATATTTAAGGCAAGTGGCCTGTGAATCTACCACAGACTTCAGCCACATTACAAGTTACATATGCTTTAGATAATGTTGAATAAACATTATCTATGTTTATCTTTCTATGATGGGACAACAACAGCACTGAGACACACAATAATGTTCATGTCCCTTCATCATCTTTCTGGTCCTTTGTTGGACCCTATTCAGTATGTCCATATCTCCCCTACACTGGGGAGCCCACAACTGGACACAGCACTCCAGGTGTGACCTCACCAGAGCTGAGCAGAAGAGTAGGATCACCTCCTTCAACCTGTTGGTAACCCTTTACTAACATGTCCAACAGTGATGCCTATAGAAACTTCATGAGATGCAATACTCCTGAGTTAACATAGGACACCAGAAGAAAGAATCTTCAGCCCATCAAACAATCTCATTCTATCTGACAACCTCTGTTTCATGTCTGAATATTTTGCTGTTATTAGTGGGATTATTCTGGCACAAAATGGAAGGACTACAAGGTTGTTCAAATCACAGAAAATTTTTACTTCACTGGTCTTTTTTGCCTCGACCTAATAACCCCACAGAAGCAAGGTACGGCAAAGCTTTTCCCCCACATTAAATAGCCAGTTTTGCTCACAAATTGTAATGGGTTTAATGATGGTGGCTACTATCACCATCAAGCTCTGGAGACATGATGGTTTGAGGGGGGGATGCACGTATTACTGTCACCCCAAGCAACAAAGAGAATTCAGTCCCAGTCTTCCCACCACACAGAGAAATGCTTTTGCCAGCCTGGGGCTGGGCGCTAAATGTCTTTATCAGCCAGTCTCCACCTTCTCATCCTAGGTGAGCTCAATCCATCTAAATGGATAAACAGCAAAAAAGCCTATTTATCAAAATGCAGTCAAGTTCTTCAAGTGCTTCAGGACAACAAAACTCATTATTCCACTGGTTTATTATTTGCCAGCATCTCAGAGCTCGAGTAACATGAAGTTTATGCTTTCAAGGGTAATGAAAAGCTTGTAAATATTAAGCCGCAACAAAATTTGCCAAAATCTCAGCATTCAAAATAGTCTTTCACAAGGAGGAGAATGTTTTCCATCCTGAAATTAAATAATTAATGCTGCAAAATTTTTTTCTGCCTATGAAGGGGAAAAGAAGGGGCCCACACAGAAGCCTTCACTTGGTTGAGTTAGTCCTATAATAAGTTTTTAAAGCAGGGAAAGGGGTTGATTTAAACAAATGTACATTGTTAGGGGTCAATAGCTGCTATTCAGGGGAAGCTGGAACAATGGAGTTCACAAAGCCAGAGGCCTCTGGAATGCAAATACAACATGTTCCCTGGCAAGGTAGCTCTACAATGGAGTGTCTGTCCGTGGGCCTTTCCCTCTGGGGGCAAAACAAAAAGATATTGGCAGGAGATACCTCACCAGCTACGAAAGTTACAGCCACTGATCCAGCAGCCATCCCTCTGTGGTGCATGCAACAGTAACAAAATCTTCACCAGTAGTTAATTTATGGACAAGACTCAGCATACAGGACCATCTAAAGAAGGACTCTCCTCAACACACATGGCAAGCACATTACATTGATCTCAACCTCTTTTGCAGGGAGAAGCCTGGTGACTTGGGTTACTCCAGAGCTCCCCGACAAGCCATCCTTCTGTGGCAAGTGAGCAAAGAAAGCCATGGAGCACTAACTACAGCCTGATGTTTTTTATTTCCATGAAGTGAGGTTGTAAAAATACTTGAAATAGTGTTTGGAGAAGAAGGGCTGTATGCCATCATTTCCGCAGCAAATACATTTCTCCTGACTGCAAAAGGGAAAGGAAATAGCTTTGCAAATCTCACAGCTGTAAGACCACCTGGAGAAGTTCTGAGTCCCTCTACCTTGTAGATTTTGCTGGTGAATGTGCAAACACTACTTCCTACCTTCCTTGTCTATCAGTTCTTGGAGATAACAAAAATCCTTTCCTTTTTTACTTTCTATTGGACATAGATATGCTGAAAATCACATATCATACCTTATAATGCGAGATCCTCAATGCAGTTGATTCAAAACAGTTAAAACTGCTTTAAATTAAGAGCAATAAACATAGGTTATGCTGCATCTGCATTCAAAAAGCATGTCACTATTAGGGCTTGGCAAAGTAAATGGAACAATAGTCAATATGTTTTGTTTATGCACCTCAGTAGCTTGGCTCTGAATACAAAGTTTGAGAGGCAGGAAGAGATGCTATTAACTAGGTCAAGCTGGAGATAGCTTTTTAATGCAAAAGATAACCAAAACCACATTTATTTTCGCTCTTTCTCTTTCCTAATTCACAGACAGATGATGATCAAGGAGGGGTCACAGAAAGAAAGAAGTCATCCAGAAAAAAACCCATAACTTTGCTAATTTTATATTAATAAACAGTTTTTGTTCTGAAAACTCATCCTTCATTTTTGCCTTAGAACTACTGAAAAGACTTAAGTTTAGGTACCCAAAAACCTTAACATGCCAAGTGCCTGGCCAGACTACTCAGTGGAAACTCAGTGGAAAATTCACTGGAAGCTGGATATCCCCCACTGACTTCAACCCAAGTATAAAGCATTCATCCTCTTGAGCAGAAGACCAGACCTATTCTTCCATATATAAGTCCAGGGAAACAAGCAGTAATGGCCATTTGTCTGATGCATTGCTCTTTAAGTCAGAGTATTGGTCTAGATGCCCCTTTTTGCACTGCCTGGCCTCCCTGGTGCAGCTTTCCTGTGCTGCATGACTAAAGGCTTTCACAACAGCTGGACGTCAGCAGTAGCTAAATATGGAAACTACCATAAAAGCCTGTGCTTACTACTGCCACAGGACACACAAAAGGGAATATAAACAAATACTCCAGAAACTGCTTCAAGACAGTGACACCAATTGGCTCCGTTTCTCACCAGCCAGGCTACCTCCCCTCTGCCAACAGTCAGGAATTGGCAGGTTTTATTCAGGATGGGGTGGGAAAGGATGGACTGAGTTACAGAGAAGGACTAGTCGAACCCTGTAGATAGTGAGAGAAAGCACAACTTTGGAAGATATTTGAGAACGCAATCTAAGTTTCAGTACTTTAAACTGATTACCTACATAAATCTAGGCACATACTTAATCCAGCTGAATAGGGTAAAATTAATTTTTAAACCCTTACAGCACTATTCCCAATTTCCTCAAAAAACACAGGGGTAAAATACTAACACCTTTCTCTCAACAAATTTAGTTCTGCCTCTTGAACAGCACTACTTTGCTCTCCTGTTTTAAAGCACAAAAAAGCCATGAAGATGTTTCCAGGGGATATAAGGTCAGTTTAGGGGGAGACTGGTTTCCTGCAGAACAAAATCTCCTTGAAAATTAGATGTTTCTGTTGTCTGTCAAACCCCAATATCAGATCAAAGCACCAGCTCTGCCGCTCCTGAGGTCTGTGCAACAGCTGCCGATTAACCTTGAACAGGCTCCATCTCCTTCTGTTTCAGTAACTGGAGATAGCACAGCACCAGTGATGGTATATGACTTTAAAAACAAGAAACTGGATTAAAACGTATATTATTACTGACTTGAAAGGGAACCAGAATAACCTTCCTCAGCCCTTTGAAGGCATCAGCAGTTCTTACAAGACCACCACTTCATATAAGATAGTATTTTTTATATAAATTTAAAAAAACCCCAAACAACAACACAAAAAAATATTGTCTTCCAATTATGCCCAACACAAACAGCACACAGACATTACCCTGAACATATGCAGGTGGAAGAGCATGCTCCTCCTCATCTGCTGTTGAATGTGAAGGCACCCATTACTAACAT